CTGGTGAGAGCTAAGGCATGCATTCATCCTAAGTGCAGAGGTTGCAATGAAGATGTGTCACTTAGGGTTATGCCTCTCACTTATTTTCTGCATTTGGCTAGTTCTTGAATTCTGTAATAGTCTTCATCTGTTGCAAAAAGAAGCTTCTTTGATGAGGGGTGAAAGATGCACTTGTCTGTAATACGAGGATATTTAGAATATTTAGAATATTTAGTATATTTAGAATAAAGTAAGAAACTACCTTTGTCTAGGGATGTAGATGATCCCTAGACCTGGGCTTTATGATCTTTCCAGCCACGTGTATTTGGCTATGTTTACAGTTCTGCACATGCGTTCCCTCCCATTGAGCAGTCCTTAATTCCAATCCGGACTTGATTGCCCCTCAAATAAAAGTGCCACTACTACTGCACCAATAGCAAGAGTTTGCTGGGCCAGCATTGTTGTTCATTAGGTTTCACAACTTGGTAAGACTACTGATTGGTTTTCTCCCTTGACAGTTTGCATAGTATTCTCTGATACTGTGAGAACTAGTCTTCAGGGAGGAGGCTTTCTGGTCAGTTGCAGCTCACTTGCTCCAAGTCCTATGTTCAAAGTGTGGTCTGTCTTTAGCAATAGGGCCTTACCTTCAAGTTCTGGGTGGCAATCAAGTGCTGGGCAATAGCCTGTGTTATTTTGGAAGTCTCTTGCATTACCTTGACCAATAGCATGTAGAGGAGTCTCTACTGCTCAACATTGTGTGTTTTGTTATATAGCCTTCATCTGTGCACATGTACTCATATATTTATTATATTCATAAGTTTCAGAAAGACTTTGAATTAAGACATTTCCCTCTGGTTTTTCTGACCATCTAAGCATTATTTCTCTCCCCTTTCACTTATCTGCATAACCCTTCCTACTCCCTCCCCAGTTAAAGTATCCCCTTTCCCCCATTTCCCTATTAATAACACCTGTTTCCTATCATCCTATTCTCTTGAGCTGAACTCCTACTTTCCCTTTATTCCCATGGTTCATTTCATTTTTTCTGGTCCTGTGGTTGCATTGGGATGTATACTCATATTTAGGAATTTGGAGCTAAGATCCATAAATGAGAGAAAACAGGTCACTTAATGTGATATATTTATAAAATGAAGTTCTACTCTACAGTAAAGAAAGATTAAATCGTGAAATTTGCAGGTAAATGGATGGAACTAGAAACTGTCAGGAAAACCAAAGGTGGGGATTTTTTTCAAGGATGAAGTGAGACATTTCCTTTGGATTTATTAATAAAGAAGATATGGAAAAATTTGAGGGTTTATGATGTGTGGGTCAATGATTGCTGGGGAGGTCTATTGGCTATAAATAAAGGGAAGGATGAGAGAGAAAGAAGGAGGAAGAGAAAGCAAAGAGAGAGAGAGAGAGAGAGAGAGAGAGAGAGAGAGGAGGTAATTCAACTTGATACCACTAGGTAGCACCAAAGACAGGCCAATAAAGTATAGAGGTGCAGGCTAGGACTTAAGTGAATCTTTTCCTAAGGTTCAGCTTAAAACCACGCAGAAACAGATCTTTGTGTGTTTTCAGTTTTCAACATTCCATCCTAAAGAACACTTAAACACTTAAATTCTGGGCAGAGAGCTCTGTCAGTGATAGTCAGTTGTACACCAGCCCAGTGAGATGAGGCAGTCTCCATGGGATCAGTGTCACAGCCTCTGCTCCACTCAGCCTCTGTCCTAGATCTTCAGATCCCTGCATTTTGCTACTTTGTGAATATCTCTTTCCACCTGCCATTATGGTGTGAGTGGATGGGGATTAGCAGTGACACGAGTTTGGTTACAGCCTAAGTTTTCCCTTCTCAAGCCCTGCATTCAGTCACTTGCCATTTTAAATGTCTCCATCTCTGTTCACAGGGTACAGACAGCATATTGAATGTGGCAGCCTTATCCTGGTTAGCATGCACCACCTTCTTATACCTTCTCTACACTACTCCCAGAGGGGTCTCTTATGTCACCATGCTTCCCTTTTTAGAACCCTTGTGTTCCACCTGTGCCCCAGTCACTATCTCAAGGTCTTTGTGATTAGATGCCATGCATCTGCCTGGTTTTATCCTTCTCTACACCTCCAATACTCACTTCCAGTCTCCACAGTTCTTCATCTCCTTCTCTCCAGATTCCTATTTTTCAATTGTACTAAAATGCTGGGGGAAAACTGGTGCTGAAAACATGGTTCATCAAGTACTTGTTGCTTTTCTAGAAGATCCAAGTTTGAATCTTGGCACCCTCATTGGCCAGTTCACAACTGCCTGTAACTCCAGCTCCAGAGGATTCAACACCTTCTTTTGGCCTCTGCAGGTGCCTACACACATGTGACATAAGTGCATACAGACACAGATGCATATACATAAATTTAAACATTACAATCTAGTATTTCTCAACCTATATTATTTACTCTTTCGCTTTGGGCAAAGCACTTGGTACATCAGCCATCTAACACAGTGTCCTTCCTTGTACACCCACAACCCCAATCTCAGTGATTTTTACCTTGCATTAAGATTAAAACATGGACATTATTTCCTTTCCTCAGAACGTCTCCATGCCAAAGCTGTGATACCTGTGCTCTTGCTGTTGTGATTAGCTGTAGCTCAGTAGTGGGACTGACATACCACTCTAATAGTTGTCTGATCCCTCTTTTGCATCACACCTAGCACAGGATTTACTATGCTCTTAGACTTTGTCGAAGGACTGGACTGAACTTTGCTTCAGGCAGCTGAAATTTACAGATGATGAGCAAACACATGGTGGCACTGTGGCCATGTGCATGGGGAAGGACAGCCTCCTAAGCCTTGTACAGGCCTAACAATTGTTCAGGTTACCCTGTACAAGAGTCAGAGGGGGTCTTTTGGAGTCAGAAACAGTGAGTGGTGGTGTGATGTTGGTGACATTGTGACATCATGTTTGGTGACTGCTGCTTGATAACCTCAGAAGCTCTGAGTATATATTTCCCTTCTTTGCCAGAGATGTTTCTCTGTCCTGCCTCCCCCCAAACTCCAGGTCTTACAAATATTATTTTCTGTTCTGCTTTAAATGATGCTTTAGAATACAAACTAATTAAGATACTGAGCTATTCAAGAGCTTGCTTCTCTGAGTAATCTTGCACACTCCCACCTTCTCTGGCTTAAAACAGCACATAGTAAATATTAGCTGTTTGTTGATGAATTGAATGACTAACTGACTAAAAAGAAGATTAATGTGGGCACCACGTCAAGTACCTTGGTAGGCTGTGATCTTTTCTCTGGAATTTATCAAGTCATATCCAGAAGTCCTAGCCTACATTACAACTGGGTAGAGTCAGCCTCAGAAGGCAGATCTGGTTGGAGTCTAGATTCCCAGTAGCTTGTCTACCTGGACTCTGCCTTGTTTTTGCAGGGATAGTGTCATCAAATTTCACTTTTAATTTCTCACATATTATTTTACAATGTGATGGAGTAGACAGAGCCCTGTTTGAGAAGCCCGATGTTTCTTTTTGGTCTGAAATTTTAGGCAAGACATTTTAATAATACAATCTTTGATTCCCGCTATGGTCTCCAAAATTCATGTGTTAGAAACTTAATTCCCAAATTCATACATTAATGATATTTGAAGATGGAGCCTTTGAGATATAATTAAAGTTAGATGCAATCCTCAGCATAGGATTTCCATAGTGGCAGCAGTACGGCTTTAGAAAATGAGGAAGAGTGATTATAGGTAATATGCTCTGTCCTGGCATCTGGTGTTACGATAGAGTAGAAATCACCAGATAGTGAGCAGATGCTGCTTCTGTATTCTTAGATCTCTACACGCAGTAGATAATGGAGGCTTTGAAAATGGCTCACATATCACTAGGGGTGCTTTGAAGAGGCGGGACTGGAATGCAGGTTTCCAGGTTCTCAGTCTTGGGCTCTATCTATTGAAGTGAGAGTTCTGAGATCTCAAGTCTAGACTGCTCAGGTGCCCTCAGGACGCTGACCTCACTGACCACATTCCATACTCACCCTCTCTTATTTATAAGTATTTATAGTACAAAAGACAAACTAAAGGGGAAAAACTAAAGAGGAAAAATGTGTGTGTGTGTGTGTGTGTGAGAGAGAGAGAGAGAGAGAGAGAGAGAGAGAGAGAGAGAGAGAGGAGAGAGTTAGTTTACCAGTCTTTTTCCTATCCTAGAAATCTTGTTAGGTGTTGATGGACACTAACCTTCTAAAGAGAACATGTGAGTTGCTGGTAAGAATCACTAATGCCCATGTTGAGAATCTCAGTGAAGACAGAAGCAACAAAAGCCAATGTTTAGACCAAAGAGAAGAACATTAATTGTAGGAGAAAGGGATATGAAGCATTCTAAATGAAAGTATATAAAGGATACAGCACATACAGCTGGTCCAAGCAAGTGAGTCCTGGGTAATTAAGCTTCATTGTCATTAACTCCTACTGATTGTCCAGAATAACTGACTTCTGTCATTTCCATATATAAATATATCATGCTTTCAAATCCAGCATTTTTAGCAGCCTCTCTGAAGTTTCCCCTATGCCCCTTAACCCTAGTTATATACTTCTTTTGTTTGGGGGGGGCTTCAGAAAGACTAAAGCATATTGGGAAATAGTACGTATTTAGCTATTATCCAGAGTGGAGATAGTAGGTGTCTTTGAAACTAGATAAGTATGTTATAAATATGCCAGACACTCCATTGATACAGTTAAAAATTGCAAATTCTGGGGATGGAGAGGTGGCTGAGTGGTTAAGACCACTGACTGCTCTTGCAGAGGACCTGGGTTTGAGTTCCAGCAACCAAATTGTGGCTAAGAACTGTCCTTAACTCAAGTTCCAGGGGATCCAAAACCCTTGTCTGACCTCTGTGGGCACTGCACGACATGTGTGTACTTACTTTACAAAGAGAACTAGAAGTTTCCTTTTGAGCAAAGCTTCAATGAACTGTGCAGCTGGAGGTGGGCAGTAGGGGCTGACTTTTACTTACATGCTTCGGATTCTCCTTTCAGATGGCAGGGACAGCGCGCCATGACAGAGAAATGGCAATCCAGTCCAAGAAAAAGCTCTCCACAGCTACTGATCCCATCGAAAGACTGAGATTACAGTGCCTGGCCCGAGGCTCTGCAGGCATCAAAGGACTTGGAAGGTAGGATGGGGATACAGGGTAAGGAAGTAGAGATGGTCAGGTCGGCTGGCCCTGGCTTGGTGGTCTTGGTCAAGACATGTTCTTTGAAGGCATCAATTTCTTATCTCTGTAATGCATTGTCTAGAAGACTTGATCTCTGAAATTCATTGTGACAAATTTTGGTTCTTAATTCTAAATTTAGCGAAGCAGGTGCTTATTCCAAGAAAAGACAGTGTCGGGGGCAATTGCAGGTAAAGAAAAGCATGCTGAATAACAGGGACAGCTGGAATTACTGAGCAAGGCCTTCCCTGAGCTGAGGTAGAAGGAAGAAGGAACAGTGGTGCAACCATGATTAAAGAGTTCGGAAAGACAGGCATGTGGGTGAGTGCCTGCTATCCCAGCACTTGGGAAGTGGAGGAGGATCAGAAGTTCAAGGCTATTCTCCATTACATAATGGATTTGAGACCAACCTGGGCTACTTTAAGAAGTATTTGGAGTTTGCACCCAGAGAATCATATTTCACTGACCTCTGCAGTTGCATGTGGGACATCTGAGTGCTCATTCCTATTGGCATTCTCTGGGTTGGGCGAATCCTGTTCTCATACATCTGATGAAGGGTGTGGGTAGCCCTTAGGATTGAAAAACCCAAGGAAAAAGAAGACAATGAGCCTCCTTAGGGTGGATCCTGTGCATTTCAAATAACTGTATTGTATGTCTACCACAAACCTGGCATTGCACACATGTAGGGACTTCATTGATGAATAAGCTTCTGTAGACCCCATGGAGGACTTAGACTAAGGGAAGTAAAAGTCATGTAAATGGGTCTTTCAGTGGTATGAGAAGGTGTTTGTTAAAGCACAGCATGCCCATGCAAGGGGAATCCAAATTACATTTAGAGGTTGTGGAAAACTTGACTACCTGTCAGGTACTGAGCATCTGGGATAGCACCTCAAAAATGTCCCAGGAACAAATACTGAAGGATTCTCCCAGGTTCTTCTTACTCTAAGTTCAGCTTTGTTAGAGGCTCAGGCTCTGACTGTGTGGACCTTGGTAGTCATCATGTCATAGTCTGCTTCCCTTCGGCAGAGTGTGATGCTAACAAAGTTCTGTCTCTTCCACCTTGGGTTCACTTTGCTGTCCTAACTGTAGTTCTCTGAGGAGCCCTGACTTCTCTTCTCATGGTCATGCAATTGAATCCTTCCTTCTGCTCATGCCATTTCCAGCTGTTGGTACTAATCCACCTTCGCTTGTGCCAGCCCTTCCACTTTGAACTGACACCATTTCATCCTTGGCTTTGTGATTAAATATGCCCTCTGCCTCCATGATTGGTCTTCATCTCCCTAGGTCTCTTCAATTTATGTAGAGGGAGGCCCTCTCTCCACTCTTGCCTTAAGATCTATTGAGGGACAAGCACTCTCCTTCTTTCTAACCCCAGATCCCAGGAGATACCACCCTTTGATAGATACACACTTCCTCACTATGCTTGTCTTTGAAGGGCATCTCTTCAGTTAATGCATACTATCTGCCAACCACCAAGAACAATCATTCTGTGAAATGCAGGCTTGTGGAACAATCTTTCCACCATGCCTTAAGTATTTATTCTGAATACGAACATCAAGATGACTCTGTCATGATTTTGACACCTTTATTTTTTAACACTTCTGGTGTTTTTCAACAATATACAGTCTTTCTTAGTCATCTCCAGTTGTCCAAGAAATATAGATATATCCTAAGTATCTTTAATTCACACATTTTGTGCCCTCCTGGGAAATCTCATCTTCACTCTGTCCCTCAGCACATACTGGCCATGATGTTCTCTTTTGATCTCTATCTACCCCATCTTTTATTAGAAAATATACCAGCTAGCCCATTTATTAACCGGAAACCCAGTGAAAATCTTTGGAAGTTGCTTTATTGTCCAAAACAAAATGCACCATCCTTTTCTGTTAGTGGCGCTGCCAACACTCATAGTTTCTTGGGTTGGAAACTTGATTAGTATCTGCATCAGCCCATCAAACTGATGACTTGACTTCTGCCGTATCTTGAAATCTCTTCTCACACTTTCATCTCAGCTGCTCATGTGCAGATAACTGAGACATTTTCCTCCTCTTTTACCATAGTATCATCACGGCTTCACTTACTTCTAAGCCTTCTGTGCACTAATTCATTCAATTGTTTCTAAGGTTCTCTTAAAATTTTATCTTGGTGATATTACTTCTCCTGAAAACCATGCAGTGAACTTTAAAAAATGTAACAATATTTAAATTCTTTGGAACTTGTAGAGATTTAAAATTCTCCACATCCTTCTATGAACTCAATTACATATGTTAATTCAAACTCTCAACCCTTGGTAACTGTTATCCAGATTCCATAGATGGTTCAGTGATGACCTAAAATTGCTGTTGGTCTGAAATGCATCCCCTTCCCAACATTTAAAACAACTGACCATTCTTCCTACTCTTTGTCTATCTCTTTTTGTCTCTGTCTCTTTGTCTCTGCCCCCCCTCTGTTTCTCCTCTATTTCTCTTAATAAATTTCTTGAGGACAGAGGCTGCGTCTCATTCACCTTTGTATTCCACCTCATAGAGTTTAATCCAGTATTTGGCAACTTACAGGTGTCTAATTGATGCTGAAGTTAATTGAATAATACAAGATATGTTAGTGATGCACTATTTATTTCAAATTTATTTATATTTTCTAAATAAACTTATCAGATAACTTCTTGTATTAATGTATCATTCATCCAATCAATGGATATTGATGAGTAATTTCTACATAGTAAACTTAATAGCAATAATAAAAAACATAGTGAGGGCCTCAGCCCTCATATAACCTATGTTCTAGACCATATGATATGCTTATTTAAAGCATTCTATCTAAAATAAAGTATGAGACATAAAGGAGTAAGAATCAGACATCTCATTTAGTTTATTAACTTTTGCAGAGCATGCAATGTAAAAGGTCCATTATGACTTTTATACGCATATGTCATACTTTGTTCTTATTCGTCCGCTCCTTATTGTCCACCACTGTTTCATCATCCCCTCTTGCTGGTCCTCTTCTTCCTCCCTTTCCTGCCATATGTATCCAAATTTGTCATTTTTTCATAGACCTAGTGAAGAGAAAAGTATACGTGTGACTTGGAAATTATACCGTATTTTAGCATTAATAAGAAATAAAAGATTAGTTTTTTTATAGAAAAGTTGTAAGTTACACCCATGTTGATGCAGCCTGTTTTAGTAACAGGAGTGAAAATCAAGCTCAAGTTTTTGAAATCACAAGTGATAATTCTGTTAGAAATCTAGCAAAATATAAAATTGTCAGAGCTTTAGTATGGATAGTGATGTATGGTGGAGGACAAAGGATTATATAGCAAAAAAAAATAAGGCCATAATCATGTGGGATAAGCTTGACAGAGAATCTGTAAGCATTACAACTAAGCACAATTGTAAGATGGATCATGGGGGCTGGATTGATGGCTTACTTGTTAAGAGCACTGACTGTTTTTGTAGTGAACTTGGGTTCAGTTCCTAGTACCCACATGGCAGGTACCACCTGTCCTGTCCGTAACTCTAGTTCCAGTGGATCCAGCTCCCTCTTCTGGTATCCATGGGCATTCCTAGCTCATGGTGCACTTACAAACATGCAGACAAAACACATAAAATAAAAACAAAGTAAAGTGAAAAAATTAAAAAAAAGATTTATTATATATTTCATAAAAGATATAGGCATCATGTATTTGAAATGATTAGACACAGCTGGATATAACATAAATATTTCTAAGGTGAGGCTTCCAATAGGCAAGGCAGCATCTATACATTTTATGTAATCATGGGATATATGTTGAAAAAAATTAGAAGCTATATTTGACTTCTATATTAGGTCCTGGAAATTTTACCAAGAAAAGTAGGATAAAGAAGGAATTTAATGTGCTCACCTGTAATTTTTAGATTTAGCAAAGATGGATTTCTGAAAAATGTTACATGTGTTGGTAGCTCTTGATTATTATAACAAATATTTGAGGCAATCAATTTAAAAGTAGAGTTTATTTGGGGTCACTATTTGAGAGATTTCAATTTCTGTTCAATTCACTTCATTGCTAGTGGGCCTGTAACATACCAATGTCAGGGAGCATGTAATAAGGTAAAGTTACTTACTTCACGGTAGCTAGGAAGCAAAGAATAAGAAAACAGGAATGGTCCAAAGTAGCAATACTCCCTTCCAGGGCATTACCCCAATTACCTAACTTCCTTCCACCAGTCCCCAGCTTCTAAAGGTTGTACTGATTCCCAGGAATACCTGGCAGCCAAGCTGGACACCTAGACCTTTGAGAGATGGAGAATATTCTAATTGTATATATCATGTAACTAGAATCATGGTGCAATTAGTTATACACCTCTCTCTGTCTGTCACTGTCATGTGTGCACATCCATATGTGTATGAAAGGCTGAGGAGAGCTTCTGATTTTGATAATTAGGTTGCAGAGAAAAATCTAAAACTTCCGTAATTATATTTTTTCAAATACATACCCGGGAGTAGTTTTCCTTTTGAATCTTTATACTTACTTATTGTTCTTAGTGGGTTTTTAATTTTTAATTTTTCATATTGTTTTTGTCAGAGTATTTCGAATCATGGATGACAATAACAACCGAACCCTTGATTTTAAAGAATTTTTGAAAGGGTTAAATGATTATGCTGTGGTGATGGAAAAGGAAGAGGCAGAAGAACTTTTCCGGAGATTTGATAGAGATGGAAATGGAACAATAGACTTCAATGAATTTCTTCTCACATTAAGAGTAAGTGCCCTTGTGAATCCATATTTTCTGCTGAGCTGTTGGCTCTCAGGAGAACTTGTTAGTACACTGAGGAGGGTGTGGGTAGGAGACAGCAAACAAGCTGATGAACTTTTGAGAGCACATCATTTACTGCCACATAAGCAACTGCACATCACTGGGGGGAACAGTTCATCACATCTGATACAAGGGAAGCCTATTTGCATGTGCATATCTGTGTATGTGTTTTTCTATTTATCTAGCCTCCCATGTCTAGAGCCAGAAAGGAGGTAATTATGCGAGCTTTTAGAAAGTTAGACAAAACTGGAGATGGTGTTATAACAATAGAAGACCTTCGTGAAGTTTATAATGCTAAACATCACCCGAAGTACCAAAATGGAGAATGGACTGAGGAACAAGTCTTCAGGAAATTTCTGGATAACTTTGATTCACCTTATGACAAAGATGGATTGGTAAGTAAAAAAGGCTAATCCAAATGAAATTTATGTATCCAAACTGAAATTGTAAGTGAGAACTATATCCTAAGTCTTAAAAAGCTCAAAATATTGAGAGCATAGTTATGATAAAAGGAAACATTTCTCTATAGGGACAGCCTAAACAACGGAAAAGTAAAGTAATAAAATTTATGTGTGTGAAACATATACTGAGCATGACATAGATCTTCACTGGGGATCCATGAGCAGCTAACTGCTCATCATGGAAAATGTGGCATTTCTAGCCCATTTTTAGTTACATTCAACTAGCTCACATTCAACTAGCTCAATGCCCATGAACTCCATTACAATGAAATGTACTTAGCTATATGAAATCATAATTCAATGTTTTTGGAACAGGTTCACAAGGGCTTTCAGGATGCTTTTACATTTTTCCTTGACATACAACCACTGGATGGGCTGACTAGACTCCAGTGGACACATTTACACTGAAGGACATTTGGGTACAAACGCATGAATGAATAGGACTTAGCATATATGGCAGAGTACACGGGGTTTGGTGGGGGGATGGAGGAGGGGATGGGGGAGGGGGTCTGGGTTTGATTGGGAAATGTATGAAATTTTAAAAAGCTCAATAATAAAAAAGAACATGAGAAAAAAAGAAAAAGAGAGTGTCATTTGTGATCCCATTTTGCTATGTGAAAATGTCTTTGAAAGACAGCTGTTGGTAAAAGCGATTCTAAAGAGCAGAATTTACCCTGATTCATTCTTTAGTGTGTTTTGAGATTAAGTGAATTTCTAAATTACAGTAAATTTGAAAACAAATTCAAGCACCCAATCTTCATTAACTGTTATCTTTAAGTTACAAAAGCTTAGGAGGGTAAGCAATCAACTCCAATCGTGTCACAGCTATAAGAACAGTCACAGCTACCTCCTTAAAACTTGGAACTAGTTTTGATTTTAGATGTCCTGAGGGTTCTGGTGATGAGGAAGGGGTTCTTCCCACCTCAGTAGCAGAACCTCAGGGTGATTTACCTCTTAATTTTTGGACTATACCAGAAAAGGAAATGGGCCAAGGACAAGGAAGGGGCAATGCTTATGAATGGGAGCAAGCCTTCCCTCTCTGAAGGGAATTTCCCCCTCCTTTTTCCCTGAAACTCCATGACATGTCTTATTATCAAGGGTTAGGAGATAGGAAGGGGAGGTCTCCTTCCTGGTGATATTTTGCAGTAGGAGATGAAGTAGGCTGAAGTAGGCTCTGGCATGTTGAGGAATCGTGGCAGTAGCTTCTGTTGGGCAGTCAAATGTTTAAGACAGAAATAGCAGAACTGTATGTTTCCTCTAGTACTTCTGCCTTTGATCTCTGTGATGTCAATGGAAACTAGCCAACTGCCATTTCCCTTAATTAGCTTGAGTCTACACGGATCCCAAGTGTCTTGGCTTCTTTCTGCAGGTGGTTCCTCCTAGTCTCCAGGGGAAATGTCAGCTGCCCTTTACTCTAACAAGTCAAAATAGCCATTTGTGATTCAGCTGATTTAACAGCCCCATTTCTGCCCCTTTGACATTTATCATAATCAGCCACATTGATCTCTCAAATACTCATAAAGGTTATTGAGGGTTTTTGCAGTTACAGTATTTGATGTCATCTGAACATCACAGACCTTGTAAGAATATGAAATATTGACTGCTCATGATCATCACTGGCTGTGTGTATTAAAATGCAGAGTACTGTCTATAGTGAAGAACCATAGAATCTGACATTGTGGGGGTGGGACCCAAGGATTTGCATATTTAAGTGTGCCCAGTTGGTGCTCTAAAAGATTCAGAAATACCTGTTTTTAAGTTGCTAAATATAGTATACTAATAGCCTCATTTAATATAACAATGAATCTGGACAGTATTTATTGAACACTTACAAACTAAGCATAATACACATGAGAAAAATGTTCAGAAAAGTGATTCAAAATTTTGTACATAGGAGTTGTAGATACAAAGAAAATCTATGGCAAGCTCTTATATAGACAACAGTTAATTTCCATGAATATACTATTTGCTTGTATTTATAGACTACTGATGGCCCCAGATCACTACTGACTGAGTCCAGGGCCTTTTAAAAGGGGTTGGGGGTGGAGAACAGTATTAGGAAGAGAGGCAAGGGAGAAAATTGTGGGCATTGTGATTTTATTGTTTTCTGTTCACTTACAACTTTTGAAAAAAAAAAAACAAGTTAGTCAATGAACACCTATAATAAATGAAAGAGAGTCATGGTCCCAAAGACTTGGTTAGGGTGCACTGTGCTGTTATGGACTGGAAATGCTTCTGGTTGTTTAAAAATTTCCCTTCTAGAGATAATTTTAATCTTTTGAGTGCTGAAAGTTGAGGGCTGCCTAGAGAACTTTCCAAACAGCCATCAGTACTGTGTCTGCATGCTTCTGAATAAGTGTGTGACCCAGGCTTTGGGCTGAATTGACTGGGCTTACAGGTCAGTCAACCAGGCAGACAGTTTTTTCCCTGACTCAGCTAATCACATCAGCCAATGTGGTTGAATTCCAGTGCACATATCTACTAACCCAAGAAAACTTCCCCTCTACTTTCCCAAAGGAAAATAGTACAAATACTAATATGGATTAGCACATTAGTTGATAGTCTAGAGACAATTAAATGTATAGAATGGGGAACCTAAGATGGGGTGGGAGGTAAGGAACAGAAGGTAGTTTTTATTCATTCTCAGCCCTGATTGAGTAATTCATATCTTAGAAATGCATGCAAATGAAGCTCTTTTTACAAGAAATCTGTTTCTTTACCCATAGGACAGAACTGCATTTCTAAAAGATGAGACATCACTTTTCCTGACCTTGGCTTGGCATTCTTCTGACATGTCCCAGAAAGACAGTATTAACTTAAGCACTCAAAAAACATGCATTTCTTATTTTGAGTTTTGGGCTCTAGTTCTTAAAGACAAAGATGACAACTCATGCCTCACTTTCCATTTAGGCTGGTTCAGATACTTTCAAGACTTTCTTCCTCTCCTCCCTAGAGCCACTCTAGTCACTATCCTCACCTTTGTTCTTCGCTTATGTTTTAGGTCTGTCCTCGGCTGCAGTCGTATACATACAAATCCTTGGTAGCAATGCCCTTTCTCTTTGCAGGGATGGAAGACGGACCTCCTTTGAGAAAGGGAGAAGCAAAGTTTCCTTTCTGTTCCTAACTTCTCCCCTACAGGTGACCCCTGAGGAGTTCATGAACTACTATGCAGGTGTGAGTGCATCCATTGACACTGATGTGTACTTCATCGTCATGATGACCACTGCCTGGAAGCTCTAGCTGTGTGATCCTGGGAACCAGACCTTGGGAACAGCCATGTGAATCCAAATGATTAAACCTCAGCTCAAAAATTACGATCATATTTTATTTCATGTTCATCCTAGCGTTTCTTCTTTGTCAACACATTATTTTCTAGGGCTAAGAAAAGAGTAGAAATAAAATCGTTAAGTAATTAACTGTGAGCTTGAATCCTCTAAAGCTGTTTCTTATCTCTAAAATAGGAATTATTAAACACATCTATAAATCTTCTAGCACTATGGTTGATACATGTAGGCATTTAATCAACTTTCAATTTCTCCATTGACCAGTAATGAAATTTTGAATATTTTAATTATGATCCCTTGCCTTCCAAGATTCCCAATATCTGTATTCACCTCCTCTCAGGTGGGAATGGAAATAACTCAATTCGTATGATTGTAAATGTTAAGTGTTTTACTCTCAATTTTGGGACCAGAAGGAAACTGCCCTAGACTCAGTTTCTACAACTGAATACGGTGGCTCACTACTCAGGGTTTATAGAAACCTCATTTTGGTAAATAAGTTGAACCTGACTGTCTTTTTGTTTGTTGTTGTAAAGGTCAGTGTGAGAACAGAGGCTGTTTCTTTGAGTGGTAGACCTTCCCCATGTTATCTAGCAAATCTTCCTCTTGTGAATGTGTTTCTCTCTCCTCCCTCATCTCAGCCATATGGGTGTTTTCATTAGCACAAAGAGGGTGAGTGTGGCATAGGCCAGAATTACAGACACTTCAAAGAAGAGTTTCTACCAGGATACTTAAGTCTCAAAGCCTCCCAGTACTCAGCTTTGCATTCATATGTTGACTTGAGAGAATAAACCCAAGAAAGGCTACAGAAAGGCTACAGACATAAAGGCAGCCCCAGAGACTGGAAAAACAGAGCTTGAAAACTGCAGCTCTTACCCATGCATCTGGGGCCAAAGTTAACAGTGACCAGCCTCTGGTTGTGCAGCTGGAGGGAATGATCAGCTGCCTTTGTTGCTCAGAAGTCTCTTCTTCTACCATTCCTGCCTCTAGCTGCCCCCAATTCCTGGTTATGGGCATGGGTTGGGTGAATGGTCTCCTTTGAGATCTTATGATTTTCAGTGACTCTGGGTAAAGTGGGTCTGAGCACACTTTCTGATTTTCATTTTTTTTCCCATTTACTTTTTATTTTACAGACTTTTGGAATTTGAGCTCAAGATACATTTTGATTCAAGACCTGTGAAAACAGCTTCTGTCAGAGCAGAATTATATCAATTACTTAATAGTACACCTTGCTTTGTTTCTTTTTGGGATGCTCCATTCATTTATTTTAATAGCAGGCTGGAAAGGGGGTCTTTATCAGAGGTTGGGCATGTCTTCATGTCAAAGGAAGCCAGTTTCTTTCCAATAATCATAAAAGTCACTTTTTCTGTTGGATTTGCTACCTAGCTTTTTGCTGAGGTTGGTAGGGCAAAAGACACCAAATATACTGAAGAAATGTTTGACATTGTATAGAAAGCATAAACACTTAGGAAATTATATTTTCCTGTTTTTGGCTTGTACTCTGCAAATTGTGGCTAAGGAGACGTTTCCTTTGTTCTAGGCATGTTCTAGATAGATCTGTGTCTCAGATTCTGGGTATGACTCATGTTTTGCTTAACTGGGGCTGTACTGTGAGCATGTGATTTTGAGCAGGGCCCGAGTTTCCGTTACCAGCTTCTTCTTCCTCAGTAGTACTTTGTTTCCTGCCTAGGGGGACACAGGGCACAGTGATCCAATTTCAGACCACTGTGCCTCACAGTGCATACTCAGTTGCCTTTCTTCTAGCACTTTATGTTCTGGACCAAGAGCAAGATTATACCAAGGCCCTCTTACCCTAAGGAAACAGGATCTCCTAAAAACCTGATGTCTAAGGAACAACTCACTCATTTTTTATCTCATCTTTGATTTCTTTTTAAAAAAATTTTTATTTACTATTTTTATTTTATGTGTATGAATATATTGCCTGCATGTATGTAAGTGCAGCCACGTTGTGCAATGGTGACAGATGATAGAAGAGAGTGTCAGATCCCCTGGAACTGGAATTACAAATGGTTCTTAACTTCCATGTGGGTGCTGGGAATAGAACCCTGGTCTTCTGTAAGAACGGTCAGTGCTCTTAACTGCTGAGCCGCTTCTCCATGCACAGTCAAGGCCATATGCAGTCAAGGACAGCTCATTGCTTAACTTCTTCTAGTAATCATGGAAGGAAGAGAGAGGAGTCATTTAAAAGTATTTTACGATATTTAATAGACACTTTCCCTATTTATTTAACTTCTAGATTTTAAACATTGTTACGTTTATAATACGAAAAGTAACCACTTGGGTTAGAAGACATAAAACCACAAAATGTCTTCAAAGCATCCCTCAGGAGCACCTTACCTACTGGACTTGGACCCCACAGAGAAGAGAGAAGAGGGTGGGATTACCAGCTCTTTATGGAACGAGACTAGCATATATAAACTTGGGATCTACATAACAAGTCAGTCAGCAATACAGAATCTGGAATTCTAAGTCCTATACAATGTAGTCTTATTTAAGACTAGGAAGACACAAAGATACTGTCAAGAGGTGATGTATGACCTAGATTCCACTTTCAGTGCAAATAAGAGATACAAGATTTCTGAATTATGTACCAGGGTAGAATTTTTCCCATCAGTCCAAAGGGCTGTTTTTCCCTTCTGTCTTGTATTGGGCAGGATCTCCCTAGCCTTTGATAGTAGTGTACTTGTTCTATGTGGTCTGTAAGGTGGCATGAAGTGACACTTCACATCCTAATATCAGCTTTGAAGGCAGGCTTGGGTGCCCTTCATCTAGGCTGCCAAGCTTTTAACTTGACTTGCAGGTGAAAATATATCTCCTTAACAATTATTTATGGGTATGGAGTAGTGAATTAGATTCAATCAATGGCTTTCAAATCAAATTAATATCTAACCATTGTTAGGTCAGAAAGTCAAAAAAGAGAAATATGCTAGGTACAGAAATTTCCTACCCCAAACCTCAATTCATCTTTTCAAGAAAAGACAGTTGGGATATATATATACACACACATTCACCTTGGAAAGGAATTATGTAGGAATTTTGATAGACATAGTCAATCCAGACAATGAAAACATAATCCTCTCCTGTTCTTGGAAGCAGATAGTTGCTATAATCTTTCAAATGTCTTGGCCAGGGTAGAGTGCCTCACTAGCCCATGAGAGTAGAGGTTGGTAACAATCCCACCTTTATGAATCTACCCACAGTAGTCTGTTATACTGATGTCTTACTCAAGGGGAAATATTAAATTAGCCAAGTACGCAGTTGGCTGCTCTTCTACTCCTGTTTAATAATGTTTTTTAGCATCTGCTGAATCACATACATTCTGGACTTATGCAAATCTGTTTTGAATGTGGAATGAAAAATACACAACTTCCAGCTTTCCAATTGGGCAAAAAGCTTACTTCCTGAAAATTCTTGCTTGGCTCTCTTTTTTTTTTATTTATTTTTTTATTTTTTTGCTTATGAGTGTTTTGTCTAAAACACTGAGTGTATGAGTGTATGCAAATGCATTCATGTTGTGCAAAGTCTGTGGAGGCCACAAGAGAGTATCAGATCCTCTGAAACTGGAGTTACAGACAGTTGTTAGCCACCATGTGGGTGCTGGGAATAGAGCCCAGGTCTTCACTGCTGCTAGTGCGCTTAACCACTGAGCCATCTCTCCAGTCCCATTTTTTTAAGAACTAAGAGCCTATTGAATGAAATAGAAAAATGAAAAGTCATAGAAATGTTCATGACTCAAATGGAAATCAATATTTCAGGATTTCTTAAATTAAGAGCTTCTTGAATATAGCAACAAGGTTTTCTATAATATAAAATTTTAAGAGAATTTCATGAGCACTAAATTTACATCATTTCTTCCCCTTCTTCTCCCCCCTTGAACTTCCCCCATTCTCAATATAATGACATCTTCCTTAATTATTATTGTTACACACGCACACACACACAAACACACATACACACACCCTAGTGAGTCCACTTAGCCTTGCTTGTATGTATGTGTGTATGTTTAGGACTGATCACTTTTCATTTTGGAAGTTACACATGAAATCTAAACAATATGGTTGTCTAAATAAGACCTACATAGGAGGGGGCAGAAAGATTGTTAAGAGCCAGGATTAGTGCACGAATATAAGGAATCAGTCTTCAAACCCTCTGGGAACTTGCTCATATGAACTTGCAACAGTGGTGACAGCAAGCACAAGACCTGTATAGACTCAATAAGACAAAATCCTAGTGTAGGTGCTGGAGAGATGGCTTGGCACTTAAGAGAATTGGCTGTTCTTGCAGAAGACTCAGGTTTGAATCCCAGCATCTACATGGTAGCTAACAAACATCTGTAACTCCAGTTCCAGGGATCTGACACCCTCTTCTGTCTTCTGTGAGTATTTCATGACATGGATGCACTTATACATATGCAGGCATACACCCATACATATAAAATAAAAATAAACAAATAAGTAAAAAATTTAAAAGTCAGCATAGAACTGGGGCAATGAACAGCAGCCTTCAACCTTAGTCAAGGAACCATTAGAGACTGATTACTGCTGGAAGAGCAAGAGTTGATCTTTAAGGGTGTGACTCTAGATAGGCTGACTAGACCCCAGTGGCTGAAGTTGCACTGAGGGACATCTGGGTACAAAAGTTTGCCTTGATAGGCCTTAACATACGTGACAGAATGCATGAAATCCAATAGGAGGGGCAATGGAGGATGTGGATGGGGGGGGTCTAAATATGATTATTGTATAAAATGCACAAAAATTCAATAAACAATATACATAAAAAAGATCTTCATAAGGACAACAGTGGTCAGCATGCCAATGTGATGGGGAAATTTCACAAGGTCCCAGTCTTTGATGAAGAGCTACAGCAATCAGTGGCTGCTGAGGGAGGGGAGAATCAGTTTTCTCCAGGGCCACTAATAGGTTATTTAATCCTGAGCAAAAAGGTTTTAAATCTTAGAAATGCTATGACTCAAAGTGAAAACAAAAGCTTCAAGGCCCTGACATGTAACTGATCCTTCTAACAATTTTTTCAGCATGGATTTACTCCGAGTTGCTTGTGAAAAATTACGTGTGCATATGAGAACTAAATTTATTTTAATAGAAAATTCCCCCAAGTTAATG